CAGTGTGTAACTATAGCTAAGTACAGTTTTCAGGTCATGAGAGGGTTGTTACAGACATTTATCCCACACAGTATCTGTGACTGCATGCTAAACACCCCCACAAAATCAAGCCAGGCAAAACCTTAGCCCAGATACCACAGTCACAAAGTACCACATGGACCTGAGGAGCTATTAGTAATCGATGGCAGCTAGAAGGAGGGACAGTGTTTTGTGATATTTCAATTTTGTTCTGACAAATAAAGCTTGCTTGGAATCAGGGTGGAGCCAGCCACTATCTGGCCATAGAGGTTTGGAAGACTATAGACAGAGAAGGAGACAAGAAGTGGTAAGGCAGGCAGAGAGAGGATCTTGTCCTTTTTGGATGGAGGAATGCAAGAGGTAGGAAGTGCCTGGCAGTTGCTCTCTGTTTTCTGATCTTTCAGATTCTTACCCCAATGTTTGACTCCCAATTTTTATTGACAAAGATTAGTTAGATTAATGCTCTAATCAGTCTTCTTCAGCAGTGTGGCTTCAGAGAGGCTACTCATGACCTAGTAAATGGTTCTCAACTCATGGGTTGTGACCCCTTTGGGGGGTCACCTTAGGTCAATGGAAAACATAGATATTTCCATTATGATTCATAACAGAAGCAAAATTATAGTTATGAAGTAGCAATGAAATAAATTTTATGGTTGGGGTCATCACAGTGTAAGGAGCTACATTAAAGGGTGGCAGCATTAGGAAGGTTGAGAACCACCATGGCTCTAGTAAATCGTCTACAAAACAAAAGGGAATACAATTGAAGCACAATAAACAATGTATCTTTGCATATTGTAGAACTGTATTCCTGAAAATATATTCATCATACTTGAGTGGTTTTTGCTGTATCCTTAACAAATGTAGGCATTCAGTATTTTAAAAAAGATTTTCTAACATAGAATACCATTTTATTACCAGAGTCTACAGTAGAAATGTAACAGGAAGTTAGGTCCAATCATTCACTTCAAAACAGCAAAGAAGTAATGTTGAAAATGCAGGGAAGGATTTTAATCAATTAATGTCGAAGACAGAAATTAAGTTCTCAACCCTGTAGGGAGACACCCTAGCCCCGCCCAATAGCAACCCAGACAGGTGCCAGGTGGACCCAGGACTCACCCATAAAGGTGGGGTGAAGGGAAGCCGGGGTGACAAAAGGGAAGGTTCTTAAGGGCTGCACGTGGAGACCCTGGCCCCTTCTCTCTGGCCACGCTAGCTTGGTTCCTGTGACCTCGCTCTGGCCTGCGTTTTGCTCTGGTGTTCTCCTGAATAAAGAAATTTTACTATCACAGACTATAGGTCATCTCTGAGCACACGCGGCAATCTTAAGAGTTGGTACCCAACGTGAGGCACGAACCTACCTGGATGGGGTTTACAAATTGCCCCAGAAAAGATACAAAGAGGAGATTCTATTAGCTATTTAGGATATAAGATAGACTTACAAAGAATCAGACCACAAAAGGTACAAATTAGAAGGGACCATTATCAAACTCTTAACAGTCTTCAGAAGCTACTAGGAGAAATTTCTCAATTACAGAGTGGAAGGACATGACTTAAAGCATTTAAAAATGGCACTAAAAGGTGATAAGGACTTAAACAGTCCATGAACATTATCTGCTGAGGCAGAAACAGAGCTACAATGGGTAGAAAACATAATATTGGATGCACATGTAGATCGGATAAATCTTGATCTAGACTGCATTCTGGTTATCTTGCCATCCAGAGAATACCCTTCTGGAATTCTGATGCAGAGGGAAGACACTATATTGGAAGGGGCCACATAAACAGAATAAAAAGTTAAAGACATATATAGAAAAGATTTCTGATTTGATTTTAAAGGACAAATTAAGACTTTGTCAGCTGACTGGGAAAGATCCAGCGGAGATTATAGTACCTTTAACTAATGATGAAATTTCCTCCTTATGGAAGCATAATGAATATTGGCAGATAGCTCTTACTGACTTTTTGTGAACAATTAGTAACAACTATCCCAAAACCGACAGAATTAAATTCATAAAAAAGACAGTTTGGATTCTTCCACTCATTGTAAGACAAACTCCCATTTCTGGAGTTCTTACTTTCTACACTGATGCTAACAAAACAGGTAAGGCTAGTTATAAAGCAGGTGAAGTAAGTAAAGTAGTTCAAAGTCCATATACATCTATACAGAAAGCAGAATTATATGCAATTCTCATGATGTTTATGGATTTTACAGAACCTCTTAATATAGTTACTGATTCCCAATATGCAGAGAGAGTTGTCTTGCACATAGAGACTGCAGAATCTGTCCCTGATAATACTGAACTAACCTCGCTGTTCTTGCAGTTACAGGAAACAATCAGAAACAGAAGTAATCCACTGTACATTACACATATCAGATTCCATACGGGTCTGCCAGGCCCACTGGCACAC